GGCTGTAAAAGGTCGGATCTACAACGCGTCGGTGAGAGCAGTTTTGCTCTGTGCTTGTGAAACCTGGCCTCTCCGAGTTGAGGACGTTAGACGACTCTCTGTGTTCGATCATCGCTGTCTCCGAAGGATTGCTGACATTCAGTGGCAACACCATGTCAGTAATGCAGAGGTTCGGCATCGTGTGTTCGGGCACAGAGATGATAACTCAATTGGTGTCACCATCTTGAAACACCGATTCCGATTGCTTGGATATGTTCTACGAATGTCGTCCCAGAGAATTCCACGTCGTGCATTATTTGCCGACTCTGGGACTGGTTGGAAGAAGCGGAGAGGTGGTCAGTGCATGACATGGTGTCGTGGTATGAAAGAAAGCTGCAAAAGGCTGGCTTCAGTCGGTCCTTCACGACTCCCTGGTTGGGGTCTGAGAGATGGTGCTACACAGTGGCTAGAGACGTTATCAGATATGGCTCAGAATAGAAGCCAGTAGCGATCCTGCTGTAACCTTTTACTTTCTTCATAAAAAGTGGTAGTGTCTCCCTTACCTGAAAGATTTCTTCTGATTGTACTTTTTCGTTCCCTCGTTACTACCACACTACCTTTACACCAATCTCTTCGTTATTGTTCTCTTTTTCTTTTGCGCTCCTTAGTTGTTTTTTTTGTACTTCTCTTCGAATTTTCATTGTTTTGTGTGGCGCATATATATTGGCGCTCTCTTGTACCAATATTCATGTGTTCAAATAAATAAATCAAATAAATACTGTTGGCGGATGGTGTTGAAATCTGGAGATCAAAAAGAAGTGGGGCCGATCATTTTAACCTTCAAGCTGATCTAGACCAATTAATTAGATGAGCCAGTAGTTGGCACCCTGAAAATAACTCTAGAAGAAGTGTGCTTGTGCAGACAGAGTAAAAGTTACTAGTATACTAATGAAGATACATCTCTTCAATGTGTTGTCAGGTGTGATCAAACTATCGTAATAGGATTTCCGATTACCGAGTCGGATGCCCATACTGATGTAATAAAGAGTGCTTCAGTGTACTAGTGTGTGAGCGACGCTTTGCCGACAAGCTCCTCAACTGTGAAGAATGCCTTCATCACGATGTCGGCCAAATTGATGACTTTTGCAATGCCATGGCGTTGGTCGATTAATGGTCTGTTATGGGACGCGCGATTCTGTATGAACAGATTATAGAAACTTACTAGGTTGTCGAACGTACGTAGTAGCTTGATTATTATCGGTTCTTGGTAATCCAGAATGACTGTCACTTTGTTTTTTAGAGGTAGGATACCTGAAGCATCAATAGTATGTCCGATAAAATCTAAGAAGACCGATCCGACTTGACATTTCTGAATGTTTACAATAATGCAGTACTTTCCAGCCTTTCGAAGACAAGGTCCGGATCCTGAGATGAGATTCATTGTTCGGGCCTGGAATCAAACAGTCATCAACATATGCGTGTACGAAGGTAAGATTCCGAATAAAGTCATCCACGAATCTCTGGAAAGTTTGTGCAACGTTTATAAGCTGAAAGGAATTCGCAAAAATTTGCAGCGATCGGAAGGTGTGACGATAGAGATATTAGGAATATTGTCTGTAGCCATAGTAATTTAATTAGATGCATTGACGAAGTCGATTTTCGAAAAAAAGGTGTGCTTTTCAAATTAGCCGTCAAATCGTGAATTTAAGGCAACGGGTAATAATAAGGAACGGTTTTTGCATTCAGTTGCCGACAGTCACAAAGTGAACGCCGATCGTTGATGTCCATTTTAGGGACCTTGTTTATGGGAGATGCCCACAGGCTGTTTGATGGCCTAATGATTCCTAAATCTATCAAACGGTCAGATTAGTTCTCAGTTATCCTCAGCTTTTCATGAGCTTTTGAGAATACAGGTGGCCTTGTAGTCGTGCTAATATGTATGACATAGCTGGATACATATGGCAATTCCGGTCGCGTTCGGTATGATTCGGGGTATTATTCAATATTTATTGATAGTATGGATCGGTCGTGTAAATTGATGTTGTTGAAGAGTTATCTTAACACAGGTCAATCGACCAGAACTCCACGATTGAGAATAGCTTTTTTAGAGTTTTGAAGGGTCTGAAATATCACTAATAACCATACTAGGTATGATGCACCTGTTAAAATAGCGCAGTAGTGCTCCACTACTGCAAAGCATTATGCACACGGATCAGTAATACTTTCGTGCCTCTATGTAACCGTCGTGCTATTGATAGAAGAAACCAGACAAGTAGTGAATAGGTCTTTATTTAGATCTTCGCACAGCCACAGTGGAGCGTGGGATTATTTGTTCAGACAAACAAAGCCTCTCAACATCCAATATAAGATAATGGGAAATACAACGCCTATACAAAATAAGGAAGTGAATGAATACTTGAACTATAGTGTTTTGGCATATGCTTAGTTGCTTGAGGTCAACCATTAACCAGCCAACCTAAGCTGTTACAACGCCACGCTCGTGTAAGTCAGCTCCTGCGTAACAGAACCAGGCTCCGATGTTTTTGGACAAAAATGATACTGAGTGGAGTTAGGGTGGCGAAAAAGTCTTGATCTCAAGTAATTTAGGAATGTGTTCGTTTACGATGAATACAAAGTAAGAAAATGAACGGGAATCTAAAACTTTCAAATATATGAAAAAATTAGCACAGTACAGAAAATTGCCGCAAAAGTATGGTATATAAAATTCCAAAAAAGAACAGACTTGCAGGCCCCGGCATGCTAACCACTAAAGATGCTACAAGTATTCAAAGTTTGATAACATCTTAACCAGTAACACTGTTTGTAATCAAAATATGCCATTACAGTCAAATCAAGTCAGAAGAAAACTGTTTTGAAGATATACATGACAGGCTATCGATATATCGTCAAGTGGTCAATCTTATATGGCTAGCGGTTGTAGGAGATGCGGAACCCGGCGTACTCACACGTGATCTGGTGCGGATGAGCAACCAAGTGCTTTAGAATAGGTGAAACTAACGCGGCCAGCACTAAATTTCGACGACTTCCAGAGCTATTGATTTTAGGGATTTATTTACCACTACAGGTCTTTTATTCTAGTATCACAAATAAACGCACTTAGAACCAACCGAGACTATAATCCTACAGATACTCAATGCAACAAGTTAAGGAGCAGAAAGAAGAATTGGGAGAAGACATGAAAAGAGTGAATAACAATTCTGAAAAACTGTAAAACATTCAGCTCAGCCACAGGTATTTGGAGTTTGACAACGCTTTAACCAGTAACACCTGATATGAATCGTACCCACTTAGTGAATTCAAAAGTTAAAAGCGAGGAGGTCCGAAGATATAAATCACAGGCTATCAATATGTCGAAGATCGACTGATTGAAGAGGATGTTGGACACAGCGTTCCCACTCGTGATCTTGTGCGGATGAATGACTGAACTCCTTCAGCTAGGTGAGTCCATTAAAACGAACGTGGCCAGCATCCAATGTCGAAGACTAAAAGAGCTATTTATTTTGAGAATTTATTTACCGCTACACGGAGACACACATTAAAATATTTCAGATGTTCCAGCAATCGACGAACAAGAACTTAAAGTTATGATGGCACAGATAACTGATAGTAATGGATTGTATTGTACTCGAACTAACAAAAAAAGTATTACTAAATATCCGATAATTTGTAAGCTGTCTCACATTTCTCCTTGTTTGAAACAGCCGATATGTATTATTTGATATTTTGTGACAGATTCGAAATAGTTCACATAATGTAATTTGCTTGTACCGTTGTATCATTTTAACCTGTCGTCCGTGGCTTATATGAATACCCCTACTCTTTTAATTCACCTAATACGTTATGGCTCTATATTTGATGTTTCATTCCTTGGTTTCTGTATGGTTGTAGTCAAAAATCGGGAGACGAAGTCGTCGGATATTTAGGCGAAAATGCGACAATTCAGCGGATATTTAGGCGATAAGTCGCTAATTTGTCGACAAAAAGGCGAAAAAGAGAAAAATGCGCATTATATCCCCCGGACAGGCGAAAAAGGCGACATTCTGATGCGTTTTCCCCTTTATTTCCCTTTTGTTCGCCTTTATTTCCCCTTTTTGTGTTGCTTGGGAATACTCTCAATTAAGAATTTTTAAATTAAAGTCTTAAAATGTATATGAGGAAACCATCGGAAAACGATGGGAGTATAAGGTTACTAGGCTGTATAACACCAATGACGGCAAGTAAAGTTATTCAATCCGACTATCCTTGTTCATTTTTACTACCAGCAAAATTTAACGAAGCTGTGAAAGAACTAACAAGTGAGATTGCGAATGCTTTACCTGTAGAGTCCTCTCGACCTTAAGTATATACACAAATTACCTCTTGTATTACATGGGCTGTTCAAAAATCTAGATCTCTGTAAGACAATCAGTGTTGCTGATAGCACACAAAAAGCAGTGCTTACAATCTGTTAACACTTTGTGTGTTTCGAAAGAAGCTGGCATCATACAGCAGGTCCAAAAGCTTTTCCACACTCAGTTGTCGGTAACTGACACTCCATCAAACAGTGTGAATATCTGTTATCGATGACATTACCATGCCCATGTGACCTCGGCAATAGATGAGTGTCTAGGGCTTAGGAATTCCAAATAGCAGATCATGTAATCAACCTCTTACCACGTATTTCGGTTTGGAAATACAAGTGTCAATCTCCACATAAATAATGTGGCAGGAATAGGAGATTACGCACAACTCAGCAGCATGAATCAAGGTCTGGTTCGGTAGAACTGCTAGTTCATCAGCTGATGGTCCAAAATATTTTCGGTCCTGCCATCTGTAAAATATTTTTATAGTTCTCATCAACTAATTTTTTTCTTTTAAAAGGCAATTAAGTATTTTTCATGTAAAATTTACACTTTGTTGCTGATGGATACATCACCACTTCAGTTTCATCTGTCCAGTTTGCTTATCTGCTGGTCTTACGTGTTGTTTAAACTACCGTGCTAGAGCCCAAACTACAAGAAATGGTCAGTTTAAGTGAACAGGTTGGCGCCATCAAGAATATTAAAGAAAAATATTTAAATGATTCGTTATCTTTAAGACTGAATCCCGTCAGTCAGTTAGATGACTTTTTGAATGCTGGTAAGCACTAAGTACCTTAAAATTTTGAATTTATGAACAGAAATTTTAATTCTTACTTTTTGGGTCATCACGTTTTACACCAATATCTATTTCCAGTCATGTTAGGACTATGTTCAGAAGTTATTCTTCTGAATGATAGAAACTAATCAAGCACTAAAAAATTGACACAACACGATCTGCTTACTATAAATTTGTCAGTACTACAATCAGCTATCAGGAAACTAATATTTTTTGTTAACTTCTAAGATCCATGGAGGGCTTAAGGGGTTAGAATTTATCAGGATCTTGTATGTTTAATCCCCTTCTGTTCGAGTTCTTTGGAGATAATAACAAGGCACTTTTGAATAAACGTCCAACAACTGTACTTTTAAACATTATAGCGTTTGATATTGCAGGATGTTTATGTAACATCAACTATGACTGTTTGTCATCTTCATGGTTCAGCGATTTGGCCTCATATACAGGTACTAAAATAACCGTAACAGAATTGGGTCATATTCATTTATCGAATTAAAAAAAGGAATTCTAAACTCACTTCTATGGTACAATCCATCCAGGAGGTCCACTTATCGACTTAGAATACGCAGATGACATAGTCCTGTGTGGTGAAGACGCTGGCAAAATGCAGTCTTCTGGCAGCACTGAGCAACAATGCCAGAAAGTTTAGAATGCGCTTCTCTCCCTTTAAATGCAAGTTGTTGGTTCAGGACTGGTCTGTGTTAACACCTGAACTAAGGATAGGGAGTGAAGTAGTCGAACGCGTTGACTACTTCACTTATCTTGAGAGTCTGATCATCCCTAATGGGTTGGTGTCTGACGAAATCTCAGCACGGATTCGAAAAGCTCGTTTGGCTTTTGCCAACTTACGTCACCTGTGGCGAAGGCGAGATATCCGTCTATCAATAAAAGAACGAGTATACTGCGCGGCAGTCCTTTCTGTTTTAATTTACGGCAGCGATACATGGCCATTAAGAGTAGAAGACACTCGTAAGCTACAAGTATTTGACCACAGATGCCTTAGATATATTGCTGGCGTCTGCTGGGATCACCGGGTAAGTAATAGTGAGGTTAGACGCAGAGTATTAGGGAATGATGGTAAATCAGTGGATGAGGTTATGAATCTTCATCGACTGAGATGGTTGGGCCACGTGTTACGTATGCCTGAATCCCGATTACCACGACGTGCAATGCTATCCGGTATTGGAGATGGTTGGAAGAAAGTTAGGGGCGGCCAAACCAACACGTGACATCAGTGCTTGAAGTCACTAACTTCTAGTCTGAGCCATGTTGGTAGATGCAGACTACTTGGTTGGGGTCCGCGTGACTATCGTAACCGATGGTTGGAGACTCTTGGTGACATGGCTCAGAATCGATCACAATGGCGTCGGTGTATACTCTCCCTGTCTTCCCTTAAACTAAGAGATTAAAATTGCTTCATACCTTTCTTTCTACGAACCAATTTCTGCTTCTTGTACTATATCTCTATATGCAATCTTTCTCTTATATATTACCACCTTTGACATAACCACTGCTATGAATCCGGTGTTCATCTTGTTGTGCTGATGCTGTATGGCAACCTGGGCCGATGCACATATGTGCCTGGTACTACGTTGTAGCTGACTGACCTATGGTACAAATGAAACCAAGTTTCCTGTCATATTTTTAATTGGAATTTATGCACGTAGTGCATATTCACGTTTCTTCATTCTGCCTTAACAAATAAGTAGCCGATTTTGGTTGTTATAAAAGTGGTCACAGTAAAAGATACGCTCCATATACTATAGTTAAAGGTCTTGGATGATATGCTAAATGACGATTGTAGTTGTGTAAAAATGTTATTTGATCATCATTTAAATCCAGAAATCAAATGCTATTTCGTAACTTTGATTGCTCGCGTTTTCGCTATTTTCACTAACACTAGCTGTTTGCAGACTTCCATACTGTTCAACCTTTTTAATTTAATTTAGCGGTGCTGATTGTAATCTAGTTATTCGAGTCGTTCGATATTTGTAATAGCTTTACGTTCTGGTATCATTCTCAACCGTATTCCTAATTCTATCTTATTTCATTTAGACCATTTACCCATCGATCTTTCTCAGATGGATCTACAATTAGCTATCACCACTGCTGAAGCCATATTAGATAAGGTGCGTTTCGAAGATGAAGAATTAAAACGGGATTGTGAGCAATTATCACAAAAGCTTGAGCGGAGTGTAGCTCGATATAATGCAGACTTATCTGAAAAGGAAATTGCCAAAAAAGAACACCACTTAAAACTGAAAACTGCTAAGTAATTAGTCTCATTTTTTTGTTTTATTAGTAACGTTTCCATACTATAACATAAGATCCGCCATAATCAGTATCCGTCCAACGTGGTTTCACGTCAAATTCTAGCAGGTAAACGACTTTCCGAGGTACTCTTAGTGTCCGGTGGTAGGAAGATAATAGCGCAACAATTCGAGTTAGTCGGTTAGCTTTGCGTTGGACATGATTGAAGCCCAATAATCGTGAACTCCACTATTTATTTCAAAGCTATTGAGCATCAGAGCAAACGGAGGTTAGTTTCATCTGCATGTTGTTTCCTTCGCGGGCTTTCGAATGCACACTTCAGATACCCTCGAACCGTCAATATGGATCTGTCTAATAAGTACAGTAACTTTGGGCTTCAGTTAAATTTGAACAACACAAGAGACTTTGAGCTGCCGACAAAGCTGATTAGATTGTTCCTATCGATACAATGTCTATCATGTTTTGTTGGCTACACTATAACACGCTTTATGAGGCTTCTAAATCTATTATTTCATAAACTATCGTTTTAAGCAGTGTAGGGAATTGCAGGCGTGCTAATCAGTAGTTCCTCAAAACATTATTAGTTAATGGTAATTATCTTCATCCCCCATTTTTCTATAGACTTGCTCCCTTTAGGCTTAAGTCGTACAGTTTTTGTGCCTTTTTTACATACAGGAACCGATTACAATAATGTCTGAAAACAACATTTCTGTATAATCAAAGTTTATTTACTGCTAAGTCACATTCTTGATTCTAAGCAAAATCTTGGTGACATCTGTACAAGAAAATAGGACTCGACTAGTAGCAATAGCAAAATTTTGGCATTCTTCTTGACCAAACGTTATGCCAGATTTGAAATAAGAATATCTCTTAAATTGTACCTATATATTGGAAATTGAGTTATTCCTGATGCAATGAACTATATAAGTACTCAAACTAAACATTCTCACATAGTTCGAACTCCAGGCATAAACGGATGTTTGTGAATTACTGACACACTACTACTGTGAATCTCCCAAGCACTATTAATTGAATAACCCCACATGCATTAAAATGAGTTTCATTCCGCCTATCTTTGATGTTTGTGAGTATCTAATAATCGCGCCCAATTATTTTTTTTTAAGGGCGAAATTATCGGTCTACGAAAAATTCACGAAAACGAAGTTCACCATCAATCAAGACTCCATCACAGCTTGTATCCTTTTACATTTCTTACAACTGCTTTTCATATAGATCTTATAAAGATTTTGTGTCCTAGTTAAGTTGTAGCCTTGGTAGCACGTGTAGTTACATAAATCTATCCAAACTACCGTATAATAAGATATATTATTTAAGCTGACGACATAGTTCCTTATCAAATTTTCTCCATCATAGTTATTTTCAACCCGGATGACATGGTACAATTAACTATCCCAGAAACCCTGACGAGTACCGATATTTGTCAAATGATGGATTCACTCCAAAAGAATGTGACAAAACCCATGTTAAGTGAAAATGAGACCAGACAAATGAAAAGTTTATGGGGTCGTATGAAAGTTTCTGAAAAATGGAAGCACTTAGTCGAACCAAGAACATCAACCAAAATATCAGAATAATTAAAAAGTTGCGTGTGCAGATGTAGAAATAATACTACATTTTCAGTTGTATTTACTTAAAAAAATTAAACTTTTGTGTTAATTTGCTTTCAATTACCTTACTATTTATGTGTACCGAGTTATTTCATCAACACAGTACTCGTTAAACAAGATAAGGACTAAGCAAATGTTCAATATCCTCATGCGTCGCATATTGCAACAACTGTATGCGTTGATTGTATAATTACAAATGCAAAGGAAAGTTCAATGTTTCTCTACGTTAATATGTCCTTGATCTACCAGGTTATTAATACCAAACCTGCTACATACGTACGTGGTGCAAACTGTGGCACACACATGCATGCTTTTGTCAGTTTTATGGCAACTTTATTTGAATAGTCAACCGATTATTGAATTTCTAGTTTTGCAAAAAGAAGAAAAACTCATTGTTGTCAGTCAACTTTCGCGTGAGGTAATGTGAATAAGGAAATAGTAGGATAACTAGTCACCCAAAAATAGTTTTGCTTGATGATCACTGGGTACAGTACTCATAAAAGATTTGTATCAGGTATTTGTGTTAAACATTTGACTTCAATATTATTCAACTAGTATTAATGCCCACTAATAATTGAAAAATCTTAGGCACGGTGTACTTCTTCAAGAAGTGTATAGTTTAAAAGTCTTTTTTCAAATAAAACAGTATGTTGTATAAGTTTGAGTAAAACATGTACGACGTTGTTCCTAATATAAATTAAGGAAATACTGATCTATCTATATTTATCTTTATAACAGACGTACATTAGGGCGCTTGATTAATTCACAGCCAGAAGATGATAAATGAAACAATTCCCTAGGCACAAAAATACCACAATCTAGAGTAAAAATAGCCTGAGCGGAAAGAAAGGTGAAGCAGTGTTCAATATACACAGTAAGAACACAAAAAAGGGCAACATTCCATTGTGTGATATACATGTTCCTTTTACCCATAAGTTTTTTAATAACAAAGGGTTGTGACAAAGTCAAAATACAAAGAAGTATGTTAGGCTTATAAACTACACATATTCTTTGTTATACATAAGAACTGACAACAAAGTAATATTATCTTAAAACAAATTGTCTTAATAATAACTTTAGTAGTTGATCTGTATGCGTACATTTAAATAAGTAGGAAAATAAGTTACTTTTCTACAGAAACGAGGAAATGAGCTGCGAGGTACGGAGCAGCTAATACAGTAAGTTAACAGAATGAACCACGACGAAAGAATAATTATTGCTGCGATGCTTTTGTGTGTGGTAAAATTAAGTAAATCTCTTCAATTAAATCTTTAAAGAAAAAACAACATAATTGAGATATTTGTAAATATAAATAATAAGGAAATGAATTATTATCAGTAGTAATGTTGGTTACTAAGATTATAAGATAGTTGATATATTAATTGTTGATGGCGAAAAAAGATTACCAAGAAATTGATACATATGCTTATCACAAAAATTCGTTACACTAATCAAAACAAAATGCAATAAATCGGAAATGAAAGATACATAACACGGACTAGCGACGCGAGGCGCTAATAAATAAACTCAAAAGGGAGAGGAAAAGCGATAACTTGATAAAGACATAACGGCAAATATTAACTAAACAATTATCATACATAGATCCAACAGACGAGTTTAGGAATTTCTATTAATAAGCTACTATATACGAACAACAAATCTGCCCAAAATATTCATCAGGAAAGCCCTGCCTCTCGCAAAACAATTTATGATGCACGAAGTTAAGGCCACTAGGACTTTCTATCTAAAAATTGGAATATAACTAATCACAGAAATAGTCATTCTAAGCATTCGCGCATGGTACATTTCACAACAACTAGTTAAAAATAACCTAGACAGAAGTATTGGTGATGAAACTAACCTCAGTAGATAGTAATTGTCAAAAAAACGTAAGATATTTCTACTAGAAGAAAAACAAATGAGACAAATAAAAGATAGATCTGGTTTTAATTTACAAAAATCATCTAGAATCATTATCTTTTCCATTGCTCTAGTGGCGTGGACGTACCTAGTGAAGAGTTTGGGCAACGATAAAATTTTGTCCGAATAATGTTTAGAGAACAAAAGTTATCTGTACATAAGATACGTGCTGGAAAAGTATGGACACAAAAATAGAGAAATCAGGATACAAGGATTTCGAAGACACCGGGCGAAGTATCTATGCGATATTAAGTTAAAGATAAAACTGAACTTGTATACAGGATATATAAATATGAATACATTAAGCAGAGGAGTAAAACAGGATGTATTAGGGCTCACATCTTTCAATCTGTTAACAATTTTCCAAGTTTTTATTTGAAGCTACGATCTGCAACAAGTGAGCGGGGAAGTATGATATAAAATTGTGACAATATCTCTGCTGATAGCACTTGACAATCGAAGACTACTGTATATAGTGCAATACATTCATAACTTCAACATCCAAAAACTACATTCGTATATCGTCAAATTTAATTTCTGATTATTCTGCAAAGATAATCGTCGATACAAAACAAGTGTCTGAGCGAGTTGTCCATATAATTTGCAGATTACCCCAATTGTGTATACTATTTTAAAGATACGTCAAGCTTCAGATGAAATTAGAAAAAAAGACAATTTAGAAATACTGGTAATAAACCATTTAATAAAGCAACAGTGAAAATCTGTTGTATTTACTTTAAAAGATTTAAACTTTAAACGAATGCTGGTACATCAAAAAAGTACAGAGTTTAGTTAGTATGCTATTCTATTATAAACAACTGCAACAACAAACAAATGCGTAGTTTTATGTTGTGATGAAATGCCACTCCGATAAAACATGAGTAATTCTTGCTTTTCTTTGATTTCCAAAGATTTTTAGCCAATATTATGTTATTGTAGAAAATGAGCTCTTTATTATGTACTTCTAAAAGTTACTATCAGAATAGTAACCAAATAGATGAACAATCTCTTCAGAATAACAAACCTGCCTATTAACTGATTATTAACTTTCTAAACAAGAACATCACTATGCTCATGCCTAAACATTATTGGAAATTTGTATTTTTAGTTGAAAATGAATGACGGGAATACTAAATACAGTAAAAAATATGCCTGTACTGAACAAAATTTATTTGAACTACATCCAAACAATCTGCCACTACCTACATGTTAATAGAGTCAACCTCATAAAGAAATTGTAGAACAGTTACCAAATCAGTATATACACAACTGGTAACAAAGACGTACTTAACTCCAACCACATCAATAAATACTGGTGATAAGAACAAAGTGATACTTACCAAATTAGCTAGCTAATCCACTAGATGCATTTGGTCATGACACTACGATATGATTAACTATCCGTTTTAATTTGATGTGACGGTGATGTATTTTGTTCATTACCGGAAGACATTTTGCCTCCTTGTGGAATATTACTTTTGGTTGAGGGAGAATCAGTTACTACAGGTTCTGATTGCTGACATCCTGTTGATGAATCATTGAAATTTAATTTACTCGAACAAGTACATGATCCCAATGAAGGACTTGAAGAAGTTGTATGGATACTGGCTGAGCTATCACCAACAACAGAACAACTACAACAACAAACAATGTCTTTAGAACTGGATAGAGGTTGTTTTTTACTAACTTCAGTAAGAGTGGTAGATGCCACGGGGTCGTCACCTAAAAAGATTTTAGGTAAAATGCAGTCAATACAAACAAATTTTAACAAACGTCTATTGAATACATTTCCAATGATGATAAAACAGAGTCAGGTATATATATGAAGCAGTAAGAATTGTTACAACCTCATATCACTACACAAAGGTCAAGGCAAGAGACAACGGGGTAGGAATAATAGGGTTAATTGTGGTAAGAATCTACAAAAAATAGTTCATAAATGGGACATGATAGTAGACAGGAAGGTTTGTCACGAAATTGAGACGATTCTATGCAGATTTCAATGGATTATAACTTATTGTAGTCCAATATATTTGGTATAAACCTGATTCAAAATCTGCACATCATGTACAAATCGAGCTTGGATTGAAATGGGTTATACTGCAATTAGCTACTGGTAAAATGGGTGTATCAGACACCAATAACTGCACTAACAGGATGCTATGAGTGGCAAACACATCTTATCGAGAAGCCCTCTTTATAAATACTGAAGTTGTGTGCATTCCCCCCATAATAACAACTGTCAACCTTATTCTGGGATATTCAGCGTACAGTATTGCACTTACAATTCTTTTCACGAAGACTGAAAAACCTGGTGATCAGAAAGTTTTCGGATAAGTCCATCAAGACTTAACAACTACCATGCTTGCATAGCACTTTCCATAAAATTCTAAAACCTGCTATTGAAGTAAGCAATGTCTATTACAATTTTTTTTCGAACTGGATTCATTATCCAGTTAGTTCGAAACCGGAACAACCAATTAAATATTTTGAAAACACTAAAAATATTTCAAATTGTGCACATATAAAAACATACCAACATCAACAGTGGCTGATGATGACACACTGAATTCACAAAACGGTGCATCATGTGATTTGGAAGGGAATGTGTGTATTACGTTTTCTTCTTTAGTAGGAATACACCCAGAGGACTGTGAACATAACGATTGATCAGGATGATGTTCATGGCCTGAGACTAACTCTGAATATGATTGATTTTGTTTCGCAGGAACACCCAAACTTTGATTATGTGAATAAACATTAGTAGATTCTGAATGTGAAGGTGTATGTTTGGAAGTTCTCATGAAACTAGTATCCGGAACAGTAGATGAACGAACCCCGACAAACCAGTTGGTCGAATTATCTGAGCAAATGAATGAAGTTAAAAATTCGACAAGGATAATTCCAAGTGTTCGCTTACAATATAACTCATTAACTGTACTAAACTTATGTATGAGCAGGAACGCTCATAAGTGTTAAGAACTAACATAATAAAACTTTGAGTTATTTATTTATTTATTTGAACACATAAATATTGGTACAAGAGAGCGCCAATATATATGCGCCACACAAAACAATGAGGATTCGAAGAGAAAAAAAGGTAAGGAGTGTAAAAAAAGAGAACAATAACGAAGAGATTGGTGTAAGGTAGTGTAGTAATAATGAGGGAACGGAAAGGTACACCTAGAAGAAATCTTTCAGTTAAGGGGGACACAACCACTTTTTATGAAGAAAGTAAAAGACGGTTACCACCTCTGACCTAACCACTGCTATGAATCCGGTATTCATCTTGTTGTGCTGATGCGGTATGGCAACCTGGACCGATGCACATATGTGCCTGGTCCTACGTTGTAGCTGACTGACTGACTGACAGCTGGATCGCCACTGGCTTCTATTCTGAGCCATATCTGATAACGTCTCAAGCCACTGTGTAGCACCATCTCTCAGACCCCAACCAGGGAGTAGTGAAGGACCAACACAAGCCAGTCCTTTGCAGCTCTTTCATCCCGCGACACCATGTCATGCACTGACCATCTCTCCGCTTCTTCCAACCAGTCCCAGAGTCGGCAAATAATGCACGACGTGGAATTCTCTGGGACGACATTCGTAGAACATATCCAAGCAATCGGAATCGGTGTTTCAAGATTGTGACATCGATTACATTATCATCTCTGTGTCCGAACACACGATGCTGAACCTCTGCATTGCTGACATGGTGTTGCCACTGGATGTCAGCAATCCTTCGGAGACAGCGATGATCGAACACAGAGAGTCGTCTAACGTCTTCAACTCGGAGAGGCCAGGTTTCACAAGCATAGAGCAAAACTGCTCTCACCGACGCGTTGTAGATCCGACTTTTTACAGCCAGACTGACATCACGAAGGCGCCAAAGGTGGCCCAGATTGGCATAAGCCGCTCTGGCTTTCACTATACGTGGATTGATCTCATCACTCACACCGCCACCAGCACTTATGCAGCTACCCAGATAACGAACTTCTCCACTACTTCTATCTGCTCACCATCCAGGGTGAGTACAGGACTAGAATCCTGCCAGTCTTGTAGAAGTACTTTGCACTTCGAAGGTGCAAAGCACGTTTCAAGAGTTGGAGTTCCTTGCGGACTTCCGCCTCATTTGCTGGATTAGTCGTCACCGACCATGGAGGGCAGGACAGTCTGACCGATGTTGCCGGAGCAGCAGGCCAGTTGAACTGCCCTTCGAAAAATTCTGCCCACCGGCCAAGACGTCGATGGATGTTAGTGATTGGCATCCCATCATCCTCACAGATTGTTTCTCTCACACCAGACTTCTTGCTGCCAGTGGCTCGGATGAGCTGGAAGAGCTTCCGGTAGTTACCAGATGCAGCTGCTACCTCCAACTCATTGGCACGCTTCGACCACCAGGCTTCTTGCTCCTTACGCAAGCTTTACCCAATTTCCTTACGTAACATCCTTCGTTTGTGGTCAAACTCACGGTCACCCGGAGTAGACCGACGGGCTTCAATGAGTTGTAAGGAACCAGAAGAAACCCAGTGCTCATAAGCGGGACGTCTCGCGAACCCACAACTGACTGCGTCATGCAATTGCAACCAGTGCTCATCCATACTGTTCGGTGGAATGGTAGCTAGCCTAGAAGCTAGCTCGGTTCGATACTTATTTGCAACAGAAGTTGCAACCAGCTTGCTAACATTAATACGTTGGTGGCGGTCACTTCGTTGGCCACTGAAAAGTAAGGTAAGATTGGCGCAGACCAAGGCATGGTCAGAGTCCAGATAGGTACTCCAAAAGGAGCGGCAGTCTTGTACACAATCACGCCAGCGGTAGCTGATCGCGATGTGATCAATCTGAGTCCAGGCTTGAGATGCAGAGGGAGGACACCAGGTAGCACATCGGCGATGACTGTGCCGGAAGTTAATGCTAGCCAGAAACAGGTTGTGGTCTGTGCACAGTTGCAGTAGACGGTCCCCGTTATCTGACCTGCAACCAACGAGTACCCACCGGCCACCTAAACGACTCTCTTCTGTGCCTAGACGCCCGACCTGCGCATTCAAGTCTCCGGCTAGTACTACAATATCTGTCGAACGCACTTTCTGGAGAACTGATAACTGGTGGTAAAACTCATCCTTGATTGCATCCGGGCTGCAATCTGTCGAGGCATAGGCGGAGATGGCGAAAAGACATCGTTTCTCACGCTGATTTCTTCTCACTTTGATGGAACTTTCTAATCTAACAGCACATAACCGACTGTTAATGGGGATCCAATCGACTAGTGCTGCCTCAGCTCGAGCGCTTAGTGCGACACCAACGCCTGCAAGACCAGACGAAGATGCCACAGGATCCCCGGATAAGCGCACGTAAAACAAGCTTTTCGAAGCGGCAGATGGAGAGCGAATTTGTAGTACTTCACCAGAGTCTTGAATACGGGTCTCGGATAGACAGCAGACATCGATATGAAGACTTTCCAAAGACATAGCCAGCCCTATCTGTTGTCCAACCTGCATAAGTGTGCGAACGTTGAAGGCAGCCAGTTTGAATGGTGCACGTGGTTTCAGAAAAAACTGCTTCAGTACTCATATTCAGTGGTAACATACAATTTTCAACCGGACAGTTACTCGAGAACGTTTAGATACAGTCGAATTTCCACCAAAGACGAGCCGCTGTATAAGTATAAAAGAGGGTGAATAATGTGGTAAATTATAATAATAATAATAATTAATAATAATAATGGTAATCATTTGATTGTTAGTTGAAGCAAGTAAAGTAGTTTCCATAATTATAGGCAGTTCATCATATTTGTGTGTGGGCTGTGATACTGCCCGGGTGCCCAGACCGAAGCGAGTGGTTATCTTAGGGGGCCACACCCCGAGCCTTTGACCTAAAGGCAGTGAAGCATCGTAAGGAGATGCAGTCCCATGGTAGCCAGTGACCAACGACTGGTTCATACGTCATTTGTTCCCCCAGGATACTGGAGCCTATGTGCACCAAACTTTGAGTACTATTGAAATGAACCAGTAGGGAATTAAACTGTCATCTAGACTACCCAAATTCCTATTGATTCCTTTCTACAGAAGAATTTTCCGAAGTAAACCGTGTTGATCAAACCAAGAAGAGTAAGAGTAGCGAATTGAGCAAAACAATATAAATTCATTTCATCTAATCAGATTAGCATCAGCAGTTTACAACTTACAATATCCCAATATTAAATATTCAAACAATTCAAACAGAATGTGTGTATGGTTTATTCGTGACTAAATATGGATGGAACAATTGATGAAATACATTTAGGGAAGTCCTAATAGGTCATTTCCTTTTGAATTATGGTGCTGATATTGTTTAAAGTGAATGAGTTTCACGGAAAAATATCTCCGAAATTCTCCTCATAAGCTACAAATCTTCAACTTTTTTGGCTTATAAAATAATTTGGATAAAATGAGTCTGGACTGTCCGTTATTGTCTATCGAACTATTTGATCAAATCATGTTACATTTGTTTAATAAGCAACACAAAACATACGAGGTATCAATAGCGCTTATGATACTCAATATAATGGAAATCACAGAGTGATTATGAATTGACTTAATTGAATAATTTTATGATTTTCAGCACAACATAAAAATGATTTAGACATACCTGACTCAATCATAACTAACTGACATAGGTTCCATAAAAAAATACTATTTATAAACATCCAATTACTATATACATAACTAAAATATATAACCATTTGCTAATCAAGTTGATTGGATGAAAATCGATTAACCTAATGAAACGATAACTTATTAGACAATCACAGTTTGGCTGCCCTGATTACATATTACATCAAAGATCATGTCCATTGGGAAAAACTATTTATTTCATTTATTTATTTGAACACATAAATATTGGTACAAAGGGGCACCGAATACATATGCACCAAATAAGTCATTTGATTTGTCTGTTGGCTGTGATACTTCCCGGGAAAAAATGAAAGATGGTGTAATCAAAAACAAAAAAGTAAAGTGATTAGTTATTGACGTAGTACATCCATAATTACTGCTTCCTTTTGAATACATGAACTCAATTTTAACTTCAGTACATTAAAGGCTGAAACCCGAATTTGTATTGTAAATGAAGATATATTAACTTCTATTTATGAATAGTTTCCTTTTTTTCCAACTGACCAATAATTTAAATTCACTGAAGTGTATTATGCATTCTACTATAAATGAACATACAAATACTACGAGTCTTAAACACCTGATACGAATCTGACAAAATGTAATGAAATTGTCATTCCATTAAAAGAGCAGAATTCGTTTAGAATCAAAGTTAACTCACAGTTAAAGTTGAAAAGATTATTATCAAATAGAAGAACCGTACTCCTGAATAAAAATATATGATACATTGTCTTAATTTCACAAGCTATGTATTTCGAGGAACTTAAGTACAAGCATAGTGAGGACGTACCAATTATGTACATGAGTGTTCCTATAAAAGAATAAGCCTTAGACATATAATTCTCGTGGTTGGTAGAATTTACTGTTTCAGAAATGAATGCAGAAAAATATTTTTATACTAATATACATCAAAGGATATGTTGTCTAAACCTATGAAGTAGTACTTCATCAAAAAGCTATACAAAATTCACAAATAAAGAAGTTAAAAATAAGAATACGGAGAAAATTATGATTATCATCTTATCTGTAGATATCAAAACGTGGAAATTATTCAATACGAAAGAAATCTTACGGAATTGTGCGATAGTGATTTTTGAAAGTCTATATTTAAGGAATACAAGATTTACCTTCTGGTAAAATTACACTTGGTCTACTTTCTGCAGTTGGTGACGGTAAATGCGTAGCAAGAAGAGGTGCTATATAACTAGCTGGTTGAGAACCTGCAGGTGATATCAGGGGAAATGGTCCTGACCCAGCCATATTCAGATATCCATGATGTGTAAGAGTTGAGAATGTTTGGTTGATCTCAGACACTACATCTTCAGTTTTACAACCCAAACGCAATGATCCCAATAATTCATTCAATGTCGGTGGTTGTTGTCTAATCGGTGCAACTTTTACATCCATTTCCGAACTAACAACAGGAAAAGGTTGAGATAAACACAAAGAAGGAGAAATGCCGGGGTAAAGTGTAGCAAGGTGAGGACTTCCTGGGTCTATTTGAGGAACACCAACAAGATTCCCACCATTACCACCCATTATTGATGGTGAAGTACTATACGGAATCGTGAATGATGGCTGAGATATACCAGTCATGTATGGACTAGATGGTGCGAATATATCTGGATGAGATGGATATGATTCACTGGGGTGTCTAGAAGCCATTGCAGTTAAAAGTGATTGATTCGTTGGATAAATAGCTGAAAAATATAAAAATAATCATGGGTATGATTACGGATGAAAACAATTAGTTATAGCATTTTTGAATTATTAGAAAGAACTGTGTAAGCTTCCTATTCATGGTTAAGAGTACAGTATCAGACAAAGACGGAAAATCCGTTGGGGTCAGAGTAGTGAAATACGCTCTATGAAATTAAAAGACCACTTTTAGTGAATCGTAGGACATTTGAGTCTGCAATATGAAGGTTAGGTGTGAGGTCACTAGGAAAAGATGGCGTATCGACTGCTTAGGCTGAGAATTTTCAATGGCTGAGGTGGTTAGGGAATGCGTTACGTATGTCTGTCTACCACCCACCATGACGCGCAACGTACAAAGGAAACTAGGGGCGGTCTAACCAAAAGGTGGTATCAATTCATGAAGTCATTGGCTGCTGAACTGAGCCACGCTGGTAGATACAGAATACATCGTTAACGTTCAAGCGATAGTTGGAGACAGAGTAACATCACCCAGAACAAGGCACAGCTTGCTAGTCGCATTCACTAGCTACTAGTCCGCTAGAGTCTTAGTATGTCATCACATCTTATTTTCGAACCACGTTTAGTTTATCTAGTTATCAATCATACTATAACTCTTTCAGTTTTATATTATTGTAGTGTTTTGATATGGGAGCTTTTACACATTTATGTCAGGCTCAACACCCATTATGGTTAACTGAATAACTTAGGTAAAATATTAATTTTTTAAGGTTTATTGTTATATTCTAAAACGGGTCGAAGATTAGACGCGCTTGCACACTTATTTCATTGAAATACCAGACCCGATAACACAAACCTTAACAGTTACCGGAAACTGAATGTATCGATCCAGTATTTACATCATTAAGCTACAAGTATGCAAATCCAAGGATAACTGTCTTTAACAGTTTAGAAGCTTATTTTTTAGTAAATTTGAACATACTTTACACATAGAGAGTAGCCTATATTTTAGTGTCACTTTATACTTGATCATTGAGTTGCATTAGGGATTATCATTAGGTTAATTCTGCTTATGATTAACAGGGACAATCAATTCCCCATACTAATAAAAATCTAACAGAGTCCTAGGAAAGTATGCACGTCTTACAAAGCCGACACGTTTTCGTCGCCATGTAATGATTGCTTACGGGTACTAATTCTTGGGGAAGTTTTGTGGTTAAAGCTCTATGTTATCAACTACAATGTGGCTGGTAAGAACTACCCAGTCTACTTCGGTTTGGAAAGCCAGACAGTATTTCGTGATTGAGAAACCAAGAGCTTAATATACAAATCTACCATGTGTTTGTTGCTAGCATCACCTTAAACTACCCGGTTTGGAATTATGGTGTCCACCTTTTAGACTGGACTGACTAAACACAAGACTAAGAAATAAATGTGTTTCAAATAAAGCTGTATATCAAAATTGCAGTTTAACGATCGCCACGTAGATCGAAGAGTATTAAGTTTATTATTATTTGAGTCTAAAACAATGGATGTCACTAAGCTGAGATCATTACATCATGAGAATTTTCTGAAGGCCTGACAGACATTTAATCAATAAAGGTCCATATGGATTACCACATTGCATTTCGAAAAGATACTTGTGAACAAAATAATTTATTTTCAGGAGAAAAACTTAGCATTTAAGTTTTTTAACGTGAAGGACCAAAATATGTAAGATGTACATGATTAGTAAATGTTACATGTCTGATCTCAAGTGTTTAGTGAGACTACCTGGTTCCCATTCCATATAACTAGGGACAATTGCACTCAATCATGAAATGTTCACAGTACTACTAAATATTCATAAAAAAGAAGTACTCAAAAATGAAGAATATTTGAGAGAACAATTGTTTTCAATAACTTCATCAGGCTCTACAGTTATAACTCCATAATTATAACATTTTACAAAAGACAAAAAATAAGGCATGTATTAATGAATTTGACAATGATATGTGTTAAAAATGGCGAACGTTTGCATTTGTTACGATATATATACTTCAAAGTTGTATTATTTGCAAATTAGAAAGGTCATTCAATACTTTTTCATTACCTCTATCTTCATCTTCACATCCATCATTCCCAATTCGTTTATCATAATTAACTTGATAACACTCCCCTTATTACAAATCATATTCACACAACACTATTATTATTATCTCAATTGACAAGATTAAATTCTCCTACTATGCATTTTATTCACACATTTTTTTTGCATTTTCATTTTTGCTATAATACTATCCTACTTATTGTGACTGGACACTTTACTGTAAATCATTATGACCTTTCTAATTTGCGAATAATACAACTTTGAAGTATATATATCGTAACAAATGCAAACATTCACCATTTTTAACACATAACATTGTCAAATTAATTAATACATGCCTTATTTTTTGGCCTTTGTAAAATATTATAATTATAGACTTAACTGTAGAGCCTGATGAAGTTAGTGAAAACAATTGTTCGCTCAACTATTCTTCATTTTTGAATATATTGTACGGGGATTTTTAAACAAAGTACGTCAGAAAATTTATCATTAAATCCAAACCGTTGATAGGAAAACCAAGTTTTCTTGTGGATGCATGGCTCCCAGAAATTAGTACTGTTCTGCAATTAAGCAATCGTCTAATAATTTGCATCTTAAGGAAATTTTCCTAAACAGATACAAGGATATTCATAAACACAAAAGGCCTGGAGCATCGTTTAGTAGCACAAGTACTTATAAGTCTAAATCTGCCATGTTACCAAAAACCAAACACTGAATTTCCTTCTTAATCCGCGAAACTATGTGTTAAGATCTACTGTTGTTTTGCTTTAAATATACATAATTACGATACTAATTATCATTCTGTTAGACACATTGCATGAATAAATTATTTGTCATAGTATATTGAATCTAAAAACTTCGATAATAATGGTGTACTTATCCAACCAATACCTGTACAACATATAGGTCTTAATTGAGAAACGAGATATTATGGTGATATTGAAAACTTTTGATAATAGTTGAGATACAACATAAGAAGGAACATACCCTAACGTTAGCGAGAAATAAATGGACTACTCGAAATTGTAAATGGAGTATTAAATGTCGGTGATCAGATAATAATGATAATATCTATATGTGAAGACCCTCTGGATGACCCGCGTGAAATATGATTGTAAATCCGGAGAGTAAAATCTACGAAAAAATATGTGCTAGAGATTTGAAATGAATATCGAGATAAATTACGCAGCAGTAAAATTTTCGAATTGTATAACATGTTTTAAAATAGACGTATCATATGGACTCTTTAGTCATATAAATACTAACAACGGCAGCAAATTCATACCGATCATTACCAAATGTATGGTAAGCTCTTGTCTTGATAGAATTGCATTCCCGGTGACCTCTAGTTTTAGACAACTAACACTAATACAGAATGCTTCATAAAAGCGATTCGTGCATACAGGAATGGAGTTTTCACAAACTTAGTTACTGACAGTGAAACATAATTCTTATCAAAAGAAAAGTGGTTATAGGGCCCCAACCGATAATCTCTAATGACTGTTCCCTGTTAAATGACAAACTGGTCAAAGTAGTTTACAGAAACCAACCGAAATTTAAGGGTCCCGGATAAGCTGCATCAAAACATGTGGGTGTCTGAATTTGAGAATCACCAATGGGCCAAATACTCTCTTGCAATAAAGTGCTTCCGTGTCCGCCACTCCCTCCGCCGGTATTAGAACCGCCTCCACTTGCACCCCCTCCACTACCTAATAGAGGAACATTACCAGTAGGTGTAGCTGGACAGAATCCTTGCCCATAGTCTGGCAAAGCTGGTGGTAGTACAGTGGCATCTTCAGGTGGTCCGTACCCAATATTTGTAGATAGTCCATGAGTAAACAAGGTGGGCATATTAGTTGGAGCCATATCCACAGATGGCAGAGTTGGGTAGTAACCGGTGGTATTTAAATTTGCCGCCAGAGCCGCGGCTTGGACCTGGAGTAACGCAGCATGAAAAAGAGACGATCCAAAAGGATTAGCAACGGCTGAAAAACCAACACCACTTGGTACGTTATCATCCCATCCTTCGATGTTACCACAAGAAGCACCACGACCAGGAGGTAAGCGTAAGTGCGAACCTTGGCTTGTATCGAATCGAACAGATGGCATAATTGCAAAAGGAGATCCAGTTGGATAAGCGCTCGCTACAGGACCACGTACATGTGAGTAAGAAATGGCAGGGTAGATGGCTGATTGGGGGTCCTCGGCTATTTTGGCTAAAACTAAATCTACAGCTGCACGACACTGCTCTGGTTCACCTACAATCAAATAAAATGAACAGCAACTGAAGTATGTTTGATAAAGAAGAAATGGAAATAATTTTGAACGAAGTAAATTTACTGAGGGAAAACAACTGAAATGTAGCGTAAAAATGAAGTGTAGTATAAAAATTACACTGAGTAAACATAATTTTAAATCATACAACGTAGATCAAATTAAAAACCAAGATGAAAGAAGTATATGATATGAATATCTGAAACAAACAACCGCTCCTCACCTGCAATAGTTATACAGCGCTCCAATAAATTGATTTCAACAGACTTCTGTGAAATCTGTATAAAGGCCCCCGTTCTGTCCTTTATCTCTCGGACATAACTACCCAATTTCCCAATTACAAGACCCGCAGTGCAGTTTGGAACCAAGATCTTAACCTTCAACCGAAAATAATTGAAAAGGGGTTAAAAATTAATTTCACAGGGGATATATATATGATGGTGTATGGATGAAAATGTGCTAATGTGAAGAAGACACATGTAAAACTGGCGAATAAATGAAGTAGTTTTGTAAATTAATCAGATGAACATGCAGCTAATCTGCGAAGTATTGATTTAGGTACACAGCCGTGAGACACTTTTTTCATGCGTTAATGATGCAAAACAATGAGACTGAAGGATGGAAAACATGAAATAACACTAAACTTAAATTCAAGAGGAAAATTAGTGTCTCTCTGTAAACCTTTTATTACAAATTACTGCAATAAAACATCTTTTAATCAAAAATTATGTGTCCACCGACATGCCACAGACTGAAAGTCAGTAAATTAATGAACTACTACAGTAATCTGCCCATTATAAGCCATTTTGAAAGCTACTAGCATGCAATCCGGTGATTGAAGATAATACACAAGAAATTCTGAGCCTAAGTTTCGTGTTGTCTGGTACTCTTCAGCGAGGTGTACCTGTAATATTGGGCGGAGTGGTGATCCCTGGGAGGTTTGACCCCGTGTCACCCAAGTTCACAGTCAGATACTGCCACTGAGCTATATAGGATACGATTGATCTCTTGTAGGACTCAGAAGTATTTAAAACTAGTTAATCGCCAAGTACAGACTAATGTCATGTATGTTAAGCACTTCATAGTGCTGATCAGATTCTATCAATAAAGTTGTGGTTGGAGGTGGTTGACGGGAAACTCTAGCTACTTGCGTGTCAACGAGCATTACGCTTCGAGGTGATGGTCAAACATACGTTACGTGTGTCTCAACCACCTTAGTCAATATAAGCCTGCACCATTATTAACTGAACCCCCATTTTAAACTAGAAATTAATGCAGATCCTGAAGCAACACCTTGAGTCTACAGTTAGAGAAATGCATCTCAATTTTTTGCTGCTACTCAAAGCATTTATAAGGCTGTATTTAGACAGTCACCATCAAGCAAAACTGTGTCATCTTCACACCGTAAGCCAACAGACGAAAAGTTTGTCATTTCTGAAAACACAGCTAAGAAAAATCAGGAAAGTGGGTAGGCCTGAGGATAATCGAATATGACTTAGAAAACACGTGGTTGCATTAGAGGATAGTCGAAGTCCAAGATCGACAGTCTCCTAACGACTGTCAATAAATATCATTGAAAGATACATGGTTTCTGTGCTTATCATTGTCCGTGGTCATCAGGTCAAATAATATTTCAGTTTATGCTTAAAATCGGTTTTGACTTTGTGAGTGGCTTATGTTGCATCATTTCCTTACTATTCAAACCTTACAGTCAGCAATACGAATTAGTCCTCCAAAAACTTAACTCGAGTCTTTTGATTTAACCACAATGTAATCAAACTGTTTGACATGTTAGGGCAAATTAAGAACAATCGTTTGAACCAAACTAACTCGACTCCTTGGCCATCGCGCCAAGGCATCCGCCACGATCGGGGAACACTACAAGTGAAAATAGAACTGTGGAAAGTATATAAGGATTTCTAAGACACTTTCAGGTCCAATCTGAAATAACTTTATGCAAATGAAACTGACATATTAGCTTCACGATACACAATTTGGAAGTCAATACTGTTTGATAGTGATACTTCCAAACATTAACACATTGAAGACTATGAAAAGGCAACAGTGAGTGGTAAGACTAGGATAAAGCTAAACACATTCAAAAATAAGAAGAAATGAACTTGCCTGTTTATGTCGACCCCATGGTAAACGACTGCCTGAGAGTTCTAAGCTATGAGACCAAGTAGACCCCTTCTGCAAGTGTGGCATATTGCTACTCGAGTCACCCTGAGTAGTAGAACTGATAGCAACACTTTCAGAACGCGAAGTTGAAATAGTATTATTGGTGACACATGATGCAGCAGTACCAGAACATTCTGGTTTTTCCAGAACACGATCCATAATGTAATTGTGCATGCGGGTTACACCCTCTAAGGTCCCTTGAATCAGACAAACTCTTTCTTCAGTCCCTAAAAGTTGGATGTTAAAATATATTCTACGGCAAGCACAAATAATACTACTCAATTCAACATAAATTAAAAATATTCATCTCTTTATAGTCAATCATCTAGACCAAATACGTTCCATATCATGGATTGCCTGACTAGCTAGTCGTAAAAAAAGTGAGCTATTTCAGCCACTTAATTCAGTAAGCCAAACCGTTAGTCGCTTATATGTGTCCATCTGAGACTAAAACAAAGATACTGTAAGAATTTTTTGCTAGAGATCACTGAAACAGTATGTGTCGTTTCATCGTCTACAGCACTTACTTTTCGACAATTTGCGCTTAGCATTTCCCAAGAACTATTAAGTATACTTGTCATCAGATTTTGACTTAAAGTTTAAAAACACGATTTTTGTTAGAAAAAAATATGCATTTAAAACGTTTGCTCTAGAGGAGTTTCTAGACTTAATAATTTCGATTGTTGGTGGAAAATAGCAACACAATAATCAAAATTTCACAACCAATTAAGACTTACTTAACACTGCATTGCTTAAGTATTTCAGTAACTATAGAAATCCGAAGCACTGGGTTTGTAATGAATGTATAAACATAAAAAGAGACTACAATAACTCGATAGATGTTTTACTTGAAACAATTTTATCAGCTTTGGAGTCGCAATAAAACTGACAATCTTATGGTTTGTAAACTCAAACATATAGAGACATATTCATTTACAAACGCGACCTTAATCATTATACTCATACTAATAATTGAGTTAAGCAGAACAAGTAGACTAGAATGGTATCATGGGCTTTCCGAGATTTAACTTATTTGAGGGACGTTTCATCTAAATAATTATTACATTAAAAAACTATGGTCTAGCGAAACATATGAGTCAGACCATAAGCTGAGGGGGGGGGAGAATGCCATCACTAGCATCTAAAAAACCCGTTTGGTAAAGGATGCGACAAGTTGAGTAAATAAAATATCTTTACGGATTACCCTGTAGTGATACATATATTACATTTAAGTAGCGAAATACTAGATCTATTCAGAAAATTATCCATACCAAGCATCTTTCTATCAACATGATTGCTTACTGCAATTTCCACCGGTCTAATAAGTTATTTTAAAGTCTATCGGTAACAGTACGCTCGGGAGTTCATAAATCCACCATAATGTATAGAACTTGACGGCATGTTTTCTGATACTTCATGCAATTTTTAAAAACACTACTGAATCCATCTTAAAAATATAGTACCAGTGCATTTTCGATTGAACTGACTCGGAATTAGGAAGTATTAAACTTACTTGTTTACGAAAATTGAGGAAGAATTACCCTAACTTGAAGCTTACTTTACGGAAAGTAGAGGTTGATCGACAAAAGACTCTTAGGTACCACTGTTTATCGTTTTGCACCTACTTTACAAAAATATGGCTTACCATATCCACCCCTTTCGACTAAACAATTTCCTCTTCATGCCCCCGAATTCATCTAAAGAACAGGACTTGTCTGAAAAGAGTACATTTTGAAGTATCAGCTTGGTGATTTCCCTACAAACAAGGAGAAACACTTCTCTTCAATAACCAGAGATGGTGCTTCATGTGTTACACAGTTTACTTTTCCTTTGGTCATTACAATGTGGCAACCGAAGATGCATATTTGTGCCAGATTAGGGAGTAACCCGAATATTTCAATAGTGTCTAAGACAAGTAGAATGTGAGTAGTGAAACTAGTATACCGAAAAACTCGAGGAAATATTACTCGTTTAATTAAGATGACTTTTAACCAATGATTGCGTTTTCCGAATCCGTCTACAAATGAACATGGGACACTCCACAAAGCACTAAGGAACCCCAGCCTGAAGTTTTGCTTACCTAAAATTTGTGGTTTATTTAGAAAATGAAAACAAACATTATTGAATTCAAGTGAAGTTTCTGTGCCTGTATTTTACTTTATCTGACTAAATAGAAAACAGAGGATCATTATTTACAACCAATACATGGAGCAAAACTAGTAGTTTTATTGGTCATAATAATGTTTACAATAGCCAAAACCTAGACGGTAAGCACACACCAAATAGGTTGTGACTCTGTGTGCACAAAATAATATTTCAAAAGGAAATATACTTTAATCGGTCAGAGTAATGTGAAAACGTACAGGACCCATATGGCCAAGATGGCTTGAAACATCAATATAGGCACAAAATGCCCGGGAGATTTGCATATGCAGAGCCCATAATGATCCGGAAACTCTACAATTTGCCACCTACAACTACGTTTACGCACCATTAATGAGCTGTATATAGCCCAGGAATTTATAAAACCCACTTTACTACTATGTCCACACATATCTGTACTAATTTATCAGTGATGAGATGTGGAACAGCCTGTGGACATACATAATACCATAAGACAGGGACTAACCTAATTAGGAATTATTGTCACACAGTGGTCGAATGACAACCCAATCTCCCTATTTTGAGGAAGCCGCCATAGGAATTTTTGGGGAGATTATGGGGAAAGGGCACAAAAGCCCAGAAATTCGCCTAGATCTGGGGAAATTCTTCAACATTCCCCCAAAATAGAGAGGTTGGGAAAGTTCATCGGAAAAACCATCACAAACACTAAGACACCTGTCAAACTATACCAGTTAAAATGTTGGAGGGACTCACCGGGATACAAATCATTTACTTTCGATAATTTAATCCTTGCGCCAGTTTCTTTCTGTATCTTCGCAATGGACTCTCCTCCTTTGCCAATAATAGCGCCGACTGCTACCGATGGCACCAAGACTTTTAAGTGGATGATTTCTATTGTATTCAAAATACTAAAAAAATCCACTACCTTGTCTTCGCCTATTGCATTGTGGAAGTGATTTCACATCCTTATCTGACTTTTCAGGTACTTCTCCCATACTTGTTTGTCAGGTGTATACGACGATAGTCAAAAACAAATACCCCAGAAGCAGAGGAAATTTGGTGAAATCATGTAGAATCGGTTGCCAAACATGGGCTAATTGCACTAGAATAATAACAAACAATACAGCTGATAAGTTACAGGTAGAGCCCCAGTCGATAGAGCACCCATTCGCAGTTGATGCATTAAAACACTCAACACTATACTGTACGAAGAATTATTTCTACTTTGTAGCCCTGAAAATATTGTTATTTTACACCACTTATCAAAAAAAAATTGTTAAGTCAGGGTTTTTGACGTATACAAAGCGGAAATATGTCCTTTTCAGGGTCGGTTGGTGTAATGGTTCCCGTTGAACTAGGAGGTACTTTGAGTGTTAAATGAGTGTGAGCGAAGAGAACTGAAATAGAGAAGAACAAGAGAAAAAGCGGGCCGATGAAAAAGTATGTATTTAGAGCTCACCCAAACATAAAAATGAAAGCGATCGATAACAAAAACAGAATGCGACCAACTTAATTTTACAATTTCAGCTGAGGCTACCAGCTTCATACTTAAAATTTGTCGTGGAAGTTCTGTGAAACGAAAGGCGTTACTGTGTTGTTTGTAGGTACCAATTATCTCTTTGTGCTTGTTGACTGCTTGATTTCAATTCCAAATACAATTACGTCTGTTTGTGTTCATCTAATACTTCTTGGTTATATCGCAGTATTTCTGGGATTCCTAGATTGTACAGTAATTCAAATATTCCTAATTATCACAGTTACGTTGGCAAAAGATAGACTGTTTGATGATTGTTTGGGCCAACTGAGACCGTTCCACTAAGTTAGGGAAATACAGTAAACTATCTTACTGTGACTGCATCACACTTAGTAATCCAGGTCATCCTAATGATGAATCCACAGAAAGACAATTTTCTAAATATTGGTTCAAAACACTTTTCTAGACTGTAGTGTTATTTTCCTGATGTCAATACATTTAGTTTGCTGATTATCTCCTAAATAATATACTTTGTTTCTAAATTCACCCCTAGTTCTCGATTACACTTCCTTCAACCAGGTCACTACTATTGAAGTGAAAAATCCCATGAAATAAATTACTTTTAAGGTATTCAACACTGATAATGACCATTTTAGTTTCACTACAGACACCCTCGAGACTTTATCAAACATGAACACCGTAAGGCTTTCAACCTTCCGTGGAATATATATAGTCTAACTGATCATTATAGGAGTCACACGTCACTATATGTATGCCGTTTATCCAAGTATAGTTTTCAAACGAAATTTTATCTTTTCGTTGACTTTGGAAACATTGTGATGAAAGAACCAAATCGCAGTATCCGAATATTCTTCACAAACAACTTTGTTGACATTCAGAAGAACATCTGACCATATGTGAGTTGGCCGACAAGAAACATTTTTACTGCTGAAGTACAAACAATAGCATATTTAGCTGATACAAGTTGGGCGATAGTGTCATGGAGCATATGTGATTCTTAAGGCTATAATATAATGTACAACATATGCTAAGCTTCTCGGCAAACTTCATGAACCTAGATGGCCAGATAAATACCTTTGAAAAAATGACAAAAGCCTATCTAAAGAGGAGCAGTATGAGCATCATTTAGATACCAACCACATCACGAACCACACTTGATGATTAACAGTAATGATTGCCTGAGATTTCGTCGGGTTTCTGCATTTCAGCTTCCAGTCAACCCATGAACTATGTTTATACGATTTAATGTCTATAGTTTGTTTCTAGTTGACGACTTACAGTTTTCCATATTCACACCCATTTTTGACTTGCCCATGTATAATTGTTATTTTTATGTTATGGAGTCATGCGCTTCAGTATTTCTGTATACAATCATATATGTTTGAAATACAAATATAGTAGGAACTGGATTCTGACTTTTAGACTGGGGGTTGGCAATATGGAGGAGCTTGCGAATGGTCGAAAGATAGGAACTCGGCTGCTGGCTCAGGGTCAATAGTACTGGTCAAGCGTGTGATTGTCTAATACACAAACACTAAACTATACATTAAGTAATGAACCAAATCAGTAGTAGGATTCTGATCGGTGATTGGGCAAGTATTAATGATCAGTATGGAACAAGACATAACAAGTTAGGTTAAAATTTACCGAAAGCTGGTTATCTTACTATGTAACTACCAGGGATTTGCTTTGTTTCTTGTTAAAAGTTGACTTGTAAAGGTGTTTGACTGAAATGATTCCCTTAACCACACAGGTATTCTGTGAACTTCAACCGTAGGCTAAAAGTGAAGTCGGTAATGTTCGTACTCTTGAAATAGAAGTTCGAACGAAGATTTTTATAGCACCTCATGGTTTGATTTAATGAAATTTGGTGGCGGCCGCTTGAGCGACAGTGACGTGCACAAACTGTGCACTATATATTGGGTTCGGATGAATCAAACGTCGGGTCAGTAAGGCCAAGTTCAAGAGGTCCTCTTTAATCACTTTGCAGATGCTAGCCTTTTCCCTTGTTAAGTTGGTTCTGCATATGCTGGTGAAAACAATTCTCCCGGAAATCAAAGTGCGGTAGCACACAAGAATTAATTACATTTCGCTGAAGATCAGTCTTTGGTAACAATCAAACATATGACAGCAGTTTTCTACACTGAGATTTTTCGCCAAGTTAAGAGACGACATCCAGATCCTATCATGAGTTTCTCAAGAAAACGGAAGACTCATTGTGAATCGATAATCAGGAGTAAAACTGTTAGTTATGTACGGTTGTGTCCAATACCCATTTACCCTCTGGATATTAGTCTGTAGGATTATGGTTTAGTTCGGTATTAGTACATTCATTTTCAACATTTGAATAGTAGACCTAATTACAACATTGTCGATTTGTTTCGATGTAACTACCAAATCTACAAGATCTTACGTAGAAGTCAAACCGCTGCTTAAACTGACTCGTCATATCGTGACAATCACCAAAATGGCGTCTAGCACTTCTACAGGACATGTTTGGACTAGGGATAGAATAACATGCTCAACATAAAAAGGAATAAGTTGAACAGTGACCATGCCCGAATGGCCGACCAGGGCCATTTCGATTGCAGTTTTGCAAGCGTTGTTTGTGTTTTAAATTATTCGGATGCGTTTACGTGTGCTGTGTTTAAAAAGTTACTTATCGAACTTGATTAGAACATTCGTTTCTCATTATGCTGTGTTTAGTTCACTTATAACTTTTAAGCTTTTGTTAAAAAAATTAGTTTGTTTATCACTTAAAAGCGGCGCTGTTATTATTAGTGGGTGTTATGCTACCATTTTTAGTAATATTAGTAAAAAGACTTGACTTTGCTAATGTTGGAATGATTTTTTTCTGCTTTATTCCCACCTTATATGTATTAAAAAGGAAGTTTAGCAAACATAGAAAACACGTATGTAGTTATTCGCTCTCAGTGAATCGGGGTGTTTGTTTCACCCAACTACATAAGACTCATTAATTTTAGTAAATATTGTGTCCTGATTTCCAGAATTCAAACTACAACAAAATATAACAATCTGGAGATATATTGCAGGACATGATTTTCATTACATACATCGGTGAGTATATGTCACTACATAGAGCAACAGTTTACTACTTATCAGTCACAGTTATGGTCTCAATTTGACATGCTGGTTTGATATCGTGAAAGCAAGTGGCTAAATGAACGGATTTATGTGTGCTATGAGCGAATAATATCACTTGTTAGCTACCGTGCCAAACGACTCAAGTCAGTAAGTTTCGCTGCTAGTTTAATTTAGACGACGTTGAAAGGGACTTAATAACAGTTCGGCTGTTATATTGTGGCAATTAGAATGTTGTTGCTAGCTGGATATTTAGCAAAGCCGATTTCAGTCGCATACGTCATGGTATCTTTCTGTGATTCGCGCGACGAAATCAGGTGCACCGGGTTAAAACCTTACCTGATATCAAAGACCACGATGTTTGATGAAAAATTCCTAGTTGAGTTGCAGTCTTTGTTGATTATCGCCCGTCGACATACTTCACAAACTTTCGTCTAAACACCGAAGCCCTTAACCTTTTGTTTTCTTTTTAATCTGGATTGTTGTCAACTATTATCCTTCCCTTAAGTTTCACTCTTTTTTATTTGCATCCCATTCCAATAGTTTAGTCACAAAAAGTAAATGTCGTTCCAGTTTGTTAGACTGTTTTCAGTTTATTTAGTTATGTATCAGGAATAATAAACCTATTCCCCAAAGGACTTCTGAAAAGTGCTGGAAATGCGAAAAGCAAGAGGGTTACATAGTGGTGACCACACCAGAATGACAGAACCATACCAGACCGATCAACTTATCCGCATCCACTAATTCCGACCTACATTACTTGGTAAATCTTCAAAGTAAATATTCTCAGTTACCGCATATTTATATTCAAGGATTGTATGGTCGAGAAATAATGCTGTAGTGAACAAAAGCACGAGTGTGGACAACTGAATGTATTTGAACACTAAATTATAGAAAATCTCACTAAAACCTGACAAACATACAGGTAATCTTTTGTGTGCAAAATATCACTCAATTGTCTCAAACTTAACTGTTCCTTTTGCAAATATCAGTCCATTGTCTCGAATTTCATTGTTCAGGCATTTAATCATAACTGTTTTTCGATCCCGTTCTTCCCCTCTCAATCTTCCGCTGAATCACATTTCGTATCTGACCATAGTTATATACTACTTATGAACGGCTACTGGGGCTACTGCCAGTCCCAGGCCCGGATAAAGAAGGAAAGTTAGGCGTGGGGTTAGCGACCCCATCCCGTAAAAAAGTAACTCACTAAAAAAACGCTAACCAGAAAAAATTATTCAAACCTTTTAAACTCTGCCAGGGAGTCAAAAGGTCTTCATTTAAAAGAACTATGACGCCTCATGATCAAAGCCGAATTCCTTCGGAAGTTACGAGGCCGATGCCCCTTCTGACAACCAGAGCGACCATTTATTTAGGTACATGGAATACTCGTACAATGTGGGACATCGGCAGAGTCTTCCAAATTGCTGCAGGAATGAGGAGATACAACCTAGAGGTGTTTGGGATCATTGAAACACGTTGGACTAAAGTTTGATATCAACGACTAACTTCAGGGGAGCTTCTGATATACTCCGGCCATGATGAAGAAAACGCCCCACATACACATGGAGTTGC